AAGATTGCAGAGCTGAGAGGAGAGGGAGCATAGGGTGTGAAGAGGGAGGCGGAGGACCATTAAAATATTAGGTCATCCACTATTTTGCGCAGTTTGCTGTTTTTGGCCCCCCCCCCCTGTTAAAAAATCCTGGCTACGCCACTGCATGTATAGCTATCAACCCTGACACCACATGCATCACATGTGTGTTCGATAACAAACAGTGTAGTTTTTATCACAACGATTACGGCCATCAATTCCGTTTCTGCCGTGCATGTAGCTGCATAGCGAAAATCTCTGAAGAGAACGATCGGAGTGTTCATTCCTATTCATATCCCTAGAGTGTTTGCATGTGCAGCTGTTCGAACTGTTAGGAAGGCCGGCTGGCTGGTTGTGAATTTATACCAACACGCACGCAGCCACACACGCATGCACGCACGCACACACACACACTCTCTCACACTGCACCGACGCATGTGGCATGATTATAGCCTGTCGCACGCAAAATAATTATAAGATACATAATTTTTACATAACCCCTAAATTTATACGTACGAACTCGCGATGTTACGTATGTGTGTGTATATATTTGTATCTGCGTTATTGACATACAGGCGGAGACAGAGCTCATGCGGGCCAGCGTGGACGCGTTGCGGTCCGGTAAAGCCCTGGAAGAACAGCTCGATCAGTTTGAGAGAAAGAAGATTGCTCTGCTGAAGGTGAGGGTCTACTTTTCATTATACTGCACCTGTGCGCGCAGGCCGAATGTATAGATTTTAGGGCGGGCCAATTTTTGGGTTTTATCGAATATTTTAGGGCACCACGATGAGTTGGAAAGCCAGCAGGCCTCACCCGACCCAGGCTGAAAAGTTTGGGTAGGTAGGTAGGCTTATTTTTACAAATGCAGCACGGCGTCTGCATGCTCGGGGGTGAATGTTGAATGTTTGTTTTGCTTGGTACATATAATGTATTGCCTACAGATTTATATAGTGTACAGTGATACAATTTGTAAAAAAAAAAGAGAAAAAGAATGGGAAAGATCGACAACATTTTTTGAGTCGGCCCCTTTTGGTGGGTCGGTCGGGTGAGCGCAAACAAACAATGTTTTTATTATGGCCCAGGCTGTTTATTGCCGTGGACATCGTCAAATTTGCAGGGACATCACAGCGAGTAAGGAGGGCAGCCATAGCGGTTACCAGTTGGTACCTTTGTGAAATTTCTAGGTCGTCATCTGATCGTGTGCATTCGCGTCGTGGCATTATTCACGTCGTGGGCAACTGGGCGAACCGATCAGTGGTCAGGGTACCGAGCCTGCTGTCATTGTACCGCTTCCTTGACGCCGTGGTATCACATCGTGGTCATATGTGTTGTGGCGATTTTGCGTTCGTGTCATTGTAGCCTGATTTTACACCATGGTCATCCATGCGTCTATCATCATAGTCCGTGTCGTTGCGGTTGCGTGACATTATCGTTGTCGTTGTCATTGTACCGTTTCTTACACCATGTCATCACATCGTGTCATCACACCGTGGTTCATCGCGTCATGACTCACGTTCGTATCGGCATTATCGATGTCGTGTCCATTGTACCGTTTTCTACGCCATGTCATCACATCGTGTCATCGTGTCCGTGTCATTGTTACCGTTTCTCACACCATGTCATCACAATTCGGTGTCGTCGCGTTCTGTCCGTTGTATCTATTTCCTACACCGTGTCATCACATCTGTGTCATCGCGTGCCGTGTCATGTGTACCGGTTTCGTACACATGTCATTCACTCGTGTCATCGCGTTGCGTTGTTCTTGTACCGTTTCTTTACACATGTCGCTCACATCGTGTCATTCATCATCCGTCTGCATCATGATTGTCAGGAGTCGCCTGACACAGTTTGGTGAAGGTCGGAAGTTTGCTGCTTTCATGGCTGCTTGCGCGCTCGGAACTCTACTTCCGCAATGCACTGGCAGCGTTGCCAGCGATAAACGAAGAGCGGACGACACTTGAGGTTAAGAGCTTGTTCAGATGCAATCTCCTGGACTAGAGGTGGGTCTAAACTATTTTAGTTCTCTCTCTCTCTCTCTCGTCTCTGCTCTCTTTCTCTCTCGTCTCTCCTCTCTCTCTCTCTCTCTCTCTCTCTCTCTCTCTCTCTCTCTCTCTCTCTCTCTCTCTCTCTCTCTCGTCTCTCTCTCTACTCTACTCCTCTCTCTCTCTCTCTCTCTCTCTTCTCTCTCTCTCTCTCTCTCATCTCGTCTCTCTCTCTCGCTGCTCTCTCTCTCTCTCTCTCTCTCTCTCTCTCTCTTTCTGTATATCTAGCTCTCTCTCTCTCTCACTCTCTCTCGCTCTCTCCGCTCAATCATGCGCGGTCTCTCGAGTTAGTGCCGTGGTTGCACCATAAGGCACTATTACACTTATTTACGCCTGGACGCCATCGCTGACTCGTTAAACATCGCCTTGACGTTTTGTTCGACATTTCCGGCCGCACGGGCCGCTAATTTACACCCCGTCGTGTGGTATGCGTCTGCTATTGCGTTCACAGGAGCCCGTGCCACAACTCGCTGCATCTCACGCGCGATTTATTACACCATACTGACACGTCACTATTTCACGCGCGATTCAACGCTGATTGATAGTGTTTGCATCTGTTAACACTGTCTTCATGACGTTTACATGCCATTTATCTGTTATTTATAATTACTTCTTCCATTATTTTCCATCTCTCACCTCCTATTAATCTTTTTTTCTCTCTTTTCATTTTTCATTACTCTTTTTTCTAAAATCATAAATTAATTTAATCACTTTATCATCCACCCCCCCTTCTGTCTCTTGTTCTCCTATCTTTCCTCTTCTTCCTCGCGCGCTGTTCCTTCCTTCACTTCCCCTTTTCTTCTTTCTCCTTCCTTCCTTCATCCTTCCCCCTTCTTATCCCCCCCCCTCTCTCTTCTCCTCCTCTCTCTCCCTCCTCTCCTCTCCTCCCACTTCCTTCCTCCTTTCTCCCCTGCCTTCTTTCGGTTCTTCATTCCCTCCTCTTTTCTCTTTTCTCTTTCTCTCCCTTTCTTTCCTCTCCTTTTCCCCTCCCTCTCTCTCTTTCTTCCTCCTCCCTCCTCCTCTTCCCCTCCTTTTCTTTCTTCTTCCTCTCCTTTTCTCCCTCCCTCTTTCTTCCTTCTTCACTCCTCCCTTCTTTCCTTTCCTCCTCCCAAATCAGAAGTGTGTAGGTGAGGTGGAGGGTGTGGTGTTTAATGAGATAGTGAGATTTATTTTATTAATTTAATAAATTTAGTTGGTTTTGAGATTAGATGATTAGTATTTATGTGGGAGAGATATGAAGCATGATTGTTGAGGGGATAGTGAGTTTAGTCTGGGAGAGATTGATGAGTAAATTAGTCTGGGAGAGATAGATGGGCTGTTAGTTGGGGAGAGATGATGAATAATTAGTCTGTAGAGAGTGATGAAGATGTTACGTATGTAGAGAGATAGATGAAGTGATTAGTCTGTAGAGAGATAGTGAAGATATTAGTCTGGGAAGTAGATAAGAGCATTAGTCGTAGTAGGAGTAATGAAGATGATTAGTCCTGTGGGGGAGTGTGCGATAATTAGTATGGGAGGTTAGTGATGAATGATTAGTCATGTAAGGAGTAGTGGATGATTAGTCTGTTAGGAGTAAGATGGCATGTTGTTAGATGAGATGTGAAGCGATTAATCTGGGAGAGAATAGTGAAGTAATTTAAGTCTGTTAGGAGATTAGTTGAAGATGATTAGTTCTGTAGGATGATGGTAATTAACGTCCCTGTAAGGAAGATGAATGGATGTATTGTTCCTGTGGGGATGAATGAAGAATATTAAGTCTGGGGGTGATGGAGTATTAAAAAGTTGTAGAGAGATAAGATGAAGATGGGGTTGTCTTGTGGGGATTAAGTGGTACTTTAAGTCTGGGAGGTAAGTGGTGGTATTAGTGTAAGAGAGTAGTGAGTTTTTTAAGTTTGGGGAGAATGAATTGAGTTGTTTAGGTGGAGAGTAGTGGATTTTACGTTCTGTTGGGGATTGAGTGTGTGTGGAGGTA